TACTTAATAAATATTAATATTAACTTTAGACTTGATTTCTTAATAAGTAGCCTTTAAATTAATATAAATAAAATATAAAATATTATATTTTTAAACTCTATTTAAGGTCTAAGAGCGTCCTAAACAAGGCAAGCTTTTGCCTTAGTTGCGAAGTAGATTTTGAACAAGGGTATTAAAAACTGTAGCTTTGCTGCATTGCAAATTTTGACTAATCTTTTGATTTGACAACCCTATAGCTTTGTACGCTGAAATTTGGCCTCGTTGGTATGGAGATAACTCCTTGCCATAGCTCCTGTTAATTTCAAGAGGCGCCAGAGCCTTGCGTTGAGCCATGGTAGTTGTTTGAAAAAGGGTGTAAAAAAACGCGTGTTCAAAAATGACGCGTTTTGGTCAGATACTTTCGCGCGGGGGTGTACTTAGACTTACTTACCAAGAGAAGGGGTAATAAAAAATGTGAGCTAAGTGCCGTTAATAGGAATAACAACTATTCTGTCAAATGAGGACTATATTAGTATGATCAGAGAGGCATATTTTGATTACAGTAAGACTATATTTTTGACAAATAATGTTGTAAATGATGAAATCTTATTGGATTACAGATGTCTTAGCTACATATCCTGGTACACTCTAAGCAATTTTACGGTTCGGCTAGCTCTAAGCGCACTTTAATGGCTCTCTTACCATTTTTTAATGTGGGCTTCTTCTTCCTGCTAAGTAGTGGTCCTAATACCAGATCCCGACCTGAACAATAGAGAATTTTGTTCTCAGGACTCGAGACTCATGATTGTTGCATGGAATCTGCCTGGGTGTTTTGAGGAATAGCGTATACGAAGATCACCTCGAGGTCGAACGCTCTAATCTGGCTGGATTGATGCATTGGATCACATAACTTCGCTTGCTATGGCAGAGACTGGCGGTCTTCAAACCCAAGTACGATTGCAGTTGACAACGAGAGACAGGAAGCTTGCTCTTCCCGAGAGCCTCGGACCAATACTCGTACCAAGCTGTAAGGCTATCACAATCTTCCAAGGTCTTCTCACTGAACTCTACAGCTCTACGCCGGTATGCTCTCTCTACCCTGGTCAACAATCTGCTTGGTACAGAAAAGCCGATACCGCTGGAATTCTTGATCAATGGATCTTACTTGCGCACATCGGTTGATGACTATCTGACTGCGAATGGCTTCTCCACAGAGACAACACTGGCGGTTGAATATGTTCGCGCACTAATTCCGCCTACACATGTTGCGTCTTTCGAGCACGATGACTGGGTTAGCTCCGTTGATGTGCTCTCATTATCCCCCTCCAACGCTCGTGGCGATGAGATGAGGATCTGGAATACCTCTTCACAGGTCCTTGCAACTTCGCCGAGTCCTTCCGATGGGGGCCATACATCATCCGTTACAAGCTCAAAATTTCTCTCTCCAACCAAATTAGTGTCTTCTGGACTTGATAGGACAGTTCGGGTATGGAACTACAGAGCAGATGGAGCTGAGGCTTCTGGCAAGGTTGCTCCACAACTTGAGCTCTACGGTCACAGAGGAAGTGTAAACTCGATCGCCGTTCATGGGCACACCAATCGCATACTTTCTGCTTCAGCAGACCACAACGTCGGTGTCTGGTCTACAAGCAAGTCCCAAGCTCCAGAAGCGCCAAGCAATCTCCTCCCTTCTGCGTCCGCAAGAGGATCCAAACGCCGGAAGCTAGACCAATCTGTAACTGTGCCACAAAGGGGACCCTTATCCCTGTTGAAAGCACATACGGAAGCTGTGTCGGAGGCGGTCTTCGACAGCAAGGACTCAACGGTGGGATACTCTGCATCATGGGATCACACTGTTCGCACATGGGATTTAGTCACATCTGCTTTGGTGGACACTAGGACAACCTCAAATGCCCTGCTTTCTTTGACACAGCTTCCAGAACTACATCTTCTCGCTGCCGGCTCATCAGGAAAAGACGTTAAGCTCATAGACCCGCGCGATACAGCCACCACCGTGTCAGCGATGACCCTTCGTGGACATTACAACGCGGTAGTAAGCTTGGCCAAAGACCCAGAGAGTGAATACGGCATAATAAGTGGGAGCCATGACGGGACTTGCAGAGTGTGGGACGTCCGGAGTAAGAGAAGTGGCAAGGATGGAATGGTTGGGGAGAGTATTTACACTATCGAGCGGGAGAGTGCAAAGGGCAAAGGCAGAATCGTGGCAGGTGAGGGAGTGAAAGTGTTTGGAGTCTGTTGGGACAAAGCGCTTGGGATTGTCAGTGCTTCGGAAGATAAACGAGTGCAAATCAATCGAGGTAGCGGGATAGTATCGCAGCGTAGTCAGACTACAGCTTGAAAATGGTGCGTTAGGGGCAAGTTAGGACCGGAAAAGACCTTTGCTATGATATCGCTATCCCTTGATCGTCATGGTATTGCACTTCTATATAGTCACACCCTCTCCCAATTACAGCTTCCGGTCTATCTTGTTGAGTTTCCATGCTGTTATGGTCTGCCAAAATCATCAGCACATGTCTCGCTAGGGATTGGGAACTCTTCAGATTCCTTGAGAAGATATGGGCCCGACAACGTACCTGGTTCTTGGTTCTCTGCCCTCTCACAGGCAGGCCCATGGCATGTCTCTTCCCACGGAATGTCCCCGTATCTCTCAACCTCGCAATATTACCCAGCACTTGCCGCCGCAAGTCGTTCTCAATCTTCATCTCGGTGAGTGTCGCATTGATCTCGAGGATTTGGGTGTTGGCTAACTCGCCGACGCGGCAGGTGTCATGGAGGTGGTGCTTCGCGAGGAGGCGGGCGGAGACGTTAGGGCCGATGCCGAAGAAGGACTGGAGAGCTTTCTGCCAGGGGTCAGACGCGCGATGGAAGATCGTGGAGAGAGAGAATAAGATAAATCAATGGGTGTGGTCGTCGTTCTAAGACTTGGGGAATCGGTACCTTCACCATGCGGCGTTCGGGGAAGTTGACGCTGAAGAGAAACACCTATACCCGTCAGCTCGTTACTAAGTGTGTAATTGAGACCCATCCTACCATAGTCGAATGCTAGGTGTAAAATACTGCTATCTTGTCATTATCACTTTCGCGACAACGTTCGCAGGAGAACAGACCCGCATCACTCCGTACAGAGTCTGGAGATGGAGACAAGTTGTGGTCGAAGACGCCAAGCCCCAGAACTTGGGTGGTCACCTCCTCAATGCGTCGTCAACCAGACTCTTCCATTGTTCAATCTCTGAATCGTGGAAGAGCGTGTATTATCGATGATCTTCACCATGACCAACTTCAGGAACCTCATCGTGTCCTTGATGCTTATCCTGACCGCTACCTTCCTTTTCATGGGACAGACAGCGTCAGCAGCTAAGGGGCCGAAGATCACGCACAAGGTCTATTTCGACATTGAGCAGAATGGTGAGCCAGTCGGAAGGATTGTGATGGGCCTCTATGGCAAGACTGTGCCAAAGGTTTATATGCACCCATCGCCATATTTTATCATTTAGAGGTAGGCTGATCAATCACTAGACTGCAGAAAACTTCCGGGCTCTGGCAACAGGTGAAAAAGGCTTCGGCTACGAAGGCTCCGGGTTCCATCGCGTTATCAAGCAGTTCATGATTCAGGGCGGAGACTTTACCAACGGTGACGGGACAGGCGGGAAGTCCATCTACGGGACCAAGTTCGAGGATGAGAACTTCAAGTTGAAGCACACCAAGGAGGGACTTCTCAGCATGGCAAATGCTGGCAAAGATACCAATGGTGTGTGACTTGATTATGGCTTCTTACATGATGACGCTGACAATCCACAGGCTCCCAGTTCTTCATTACCACCGTCATCACGTCCTGGCTCGATGGCCGTCATGTTGTCTTTGGGGAAGTTCTTGAGGGCTATGATGTGGTGAAGAAGATTGAGGCGACCAAGACGGCTTCAGGAGACAAACCGGTCGACCCCATCACGATTGCTAAAAGTGGGGAGCTGGAGGTTCCGGCGGAAGGTATCCATGCCGAACTCTAGAACTGGGTGGCATGTTTTGCTCTCTGGTTTCTTCCAGTTGCTCTCGCTAATACATGAGTTTCAGAAGTCGAGGACGAAGAAGCCGAATCAAAAGCGCCTGTAGATCCTGCTACTGAGGCTATGACAGGAGACACCGTGCCCGTTGAGGGCCTCATTGCCGCTTCTCTCTTGGCGAAAGCACTGTTGGTAAGCATTGTGCTTGGCCTCCTCTTCTTTATCCTCCGAAGGCGACGCAGGTCAAACATGGTGGTCAATGAGAAGAGCCTAGCATAGAAAGACTACATATGAAGCGGGACCATGAGCTGTCCCTTGATGTTTGCCTTGTGTCATTGCCATGATCACCGATTGGCCACTGCGCAGTTCGGAGTAAATCTGGCGACTTCTGTGTTATTGTTACTCTGTATTGTATCCCCAATGTGCTGAAATCTAGAAGCTTCGGATGGTGAGATCCAATGCTGGTGTAGGTATAAGGTATAAGGTGTACAGGGGTACGTGGTAGGGGAACAAAGCCTGGGCTCCATCAGTATCTTTTCCACTGCCCAGCTTCAAGTTCCAGAAACTGAACCCCCCAAATGCTTAACTAGCGCCACTTGGCAACACCTCCCAAATTTTGCAGGGCCTTAACTCAAACCTGGAATATTTTGTCGCCTGCTTCACAATCATCTTCAACTTCTCTCTCTCTCAACCCTCCCCCAGCACACCCAACCACAACATACACCGACTCGTGTATCTCCTTCTGCTTTTGTTTCCGCCTTTCTTTACATCACTTAGGTAGACTCTGAGAGGCTTTTCCAGTCCTCTTCTGCCTATCTCCCGTCGTGAAAGGCTTCACGAAAGAAATCAGCTACAGCTTACTGCAGTCTTTGATTCTCGTCACCATCCTTTCGGCTCTTCTCCATCCGGTCTTCGCTGTAAGGGATCAAGATTTGGACAGATCTGCCGCAGGACTTCTCTTACATACTGAACTCATAACTCTCTTGACTTGTGAGTTGTCCGCTAATTCTCAAGTGAAAATCTTGTCAGTGGCTGACCTCAAATTCCTTAGGAACCGATCTTTGCACCATGGCAAATCAGCTCAACATGAACGGTCTCAGCTTGACCGACTCAAAGCATGCTGCCACCATGCCCAACGGCCGTCCTGCATACATTCCTCCTCATCTCCGTGGTCAGCCTGTCCGCAGCGGCCCTCCCCCCATGGACGGACCTGCAACACTTCCTCCAGGCGGCGACTCGGGACTAGACGGTAGTGCATGGGGAAATTCCAGGTGTGTATTCTCCATGAAAAGGACGTTATAAACGCGTCCTTGTCAACCATTTATGATCTGGTAATGGCTAACGGCATCAAAGTGCTCTAGGCGGTGGTGGCAACAACTGGGCGAGCGCTCCAGATTTTACTCCAGGTGGAAAGGGAGGGGCTGCCAATGGCTGGGGCGGACCACCAGCGGCTGCGCCATCCGGCGGCTTCAACCCGAATGCTTATGGCAACCCTGCAGCCCGAGCACAAGGAGGGTCATATGGCAGAGGTTACGGCGGAGGTGGTGGCGCTCCTTCTCCACGTGGTTCTGGCGATGGGCAATGGCGTGACGGGCAACACATCCCTGGACCTCAGAATCTTAAGATGGAACATGAATTGTTCGGTGTGCCGGATGACCCAACCAAAGCCCACAGTGGTATCAACTTCGCCAACTACGACGACATCCCCGTTGAGGCCTCAGGTCGGGACATTCCTGAACCAGTGACCACCTTCATGAACCCCCCTCTGGATGATCATCTCCTCAACAACATCAAACTGGCCAGGTACACCGTTCCCACACCCGTTCAGAAATACTCGATCCCCATCGTCATGGCTGGCCGCGATCTCATGGCCTGTGCTCAAACCGGCTCCGGTAAAACTGGCGGTTTCCTCTTCCCCATTTTATCTCAAGCATTCCAATACGGACCATCCGCTGTTCCTGCAATGGGAGCAAATGCCGGCTTCTCACGTCAACGGAAGGCCTTTCCTACTTCCCTGATCCTTGCCCCTACCCGTGAACTGGTGTCTCAAATTTACGACGAGGCACGAAAGTTTGCCTACCGCTCTTGGGTCCGCCCATGTGTGGTCTACGGCGGCGCTGACATTGGTTCTCAGCTTCGCTCAATGGAACGTGGCTGCGATCTGCTTGTTGCAACCCCGGGTCGACTGGTTGATCTTATCGAGCGTGGCCGCATTTCTCTGGCTAACATCAAGTACCTTGTTCTCGATGAAGCTGACCGCATGCTGGACATGGGTTTCGAGCCCCAAATTCGTCGCATTGTGGATGGCGAAGATATGACCAAGCTTGAAAATCGTCAAACCCTCATGTTTTCGGCCACCTTCCCACCCGATATTCAGATGTTGGCTCGGGACTTCTTGAAGGAGTATGTCTTCTTGTCCGTTGGGCGTGTTGGTTCTACTTCCGAGAACATCACACAGAAGGTGGAATATGTTGAAGACCATGACAAACGGTCCGTTCTTCTGGACATCCTGCACACCCATGCAAATGGCTTGACCCTCGTCTTTGTGGAGACCAAACGCATGGCTGACACTCTGTCTGACTTCCTCATCAACAAAAATTTTCCTGCCACCGCTATTCATGGAGATCGCACTCAGCGTGAACGCGAGCGAGCTCTTGAGTACTTCCGGACTGGCGTTTGTCCCATCCTGGTGGCTACCGCTGTCGCTGCACGTGGTCTCGATATCCCTAACGTAACGCATGTTATCAACTATGACTTGCCCACTGACATTGACGACTATGTGCATCGAATTGGTCGTACAGGGCGTGCTGGTAATACTGGTCTTTCAACAGCATTCTTCAACCGGGGCAATCGTGGAATAGTTCGTGATCTTATTGACCTTCTGAAGGAAGCTCACCAAGAATGCCCTGATTTCTTGGGTAATATTGCACGTGAAGGGTCTGGCTTTGGCGGGGGTCGTGGTGGTGGTCGCGGCCGTGGTGGAGGTGGAGGCGGAGGTCGTGGTGCCTCTGCTACTCGTGACATGCGTCGTCAAGGCGGCAGACCAGGTGCTCCAGCTTATGGTGGCGGCGGCTTTGGTGGCCCCCCTTCAGGTGGATATGGTAGGCTTCACCCTTCTTACTTGTTGGCGGACCCAGCTAACCCCATCTCAGGCGGTGGTGGCTTCAGCGGTGGCTACAGCGGTGGTGCTCCAGCTTATGGTGGCGGCGGTGGCGGCTATGGCGGCGGCTACGGTGGTGGTGGTGGTGGTGGCTATGGTAATCCCGGTGGCGCCAATGGACCATCATCCTGGTGGTAGTCGACGTCACAGCATCGAATCTGGGAGGGTGTGGTGTTGCACAATTTTCGTTTCTTTTCAAAAGTCGTCATGTCCATTTCGGGGTCGGCGCTCAGAGGCTCTCACGGCTTTAATGAGCCCTCGCGGGCAGGATCGCTCTCAACCACTCTGCTTCTCCGGCATTGCATGATACAACGATAGATAGCGTTGACTTTCTGTTTCCACGTTCCAAGAGATACCCCAAAAATCGTCGAGCTTCACATGGAAAAAATTGAAGGAGGGACACAAATTCGGAAGGCGGCGGGCCACACGCACAGGCTCTCCATTTCTTTTCTTCCGGTCTCGACCTAGCAAAGAATCTACGCGAGGGACATGGATATGGGAAGAAGAGAGCATGAGGTGGTTGACCCGGCCACCTCTTTATTGTACCTACTTCGCAAGGGAGGGGGGGTATTGATGAGCAAACGGACATCGCTGTCGCTAATAGAAAGTCATCAACAATGCCGATTTTTCATTGCTGCGTTTGCAACCAACGCACTTGTACTTGTGCTGCTGCTACACGAGCTTGAATGGACGTGATGATTGTGATTGTGATTGTGATTGTGATTGTTGTAGTTGTGCTTCTTGTTGCGTGCTGCTGTAGGACTATTGACTTATTGTGATTTATATCGCGACAATGATGACGTGCTGGCCTGGTGGATGGATGATTGATTATTATTCCTGGTTTTTGATCAGTTGGATGTGAAGGACCCAAAGCATGAGATATGTACGGGATGGAGTGGTGCATTTCTGATCTCTAACAAGTTAATTTGAACAGTTGGGTACCTGCTGGAAAGCGAACGAAGGCGCAACTGGGGGAAAAAAAAGGTTCGATATATCCTACCTAACTAGTAGGTTATCAGTCTAAGCTCGTCTAATCTATCGAGATGCCTAGTTATGCCTGAACCTGACCACCTCGAGTTACTACTCGTAACTTAGTTAATCTACTGCCCCGGAATCTGGCCCGGAGCCCCTTCCTTTCGGAACCACATTGATTCAGTCAGTCAGTCAGTCAGTCAGTCAGTCAGTCAGTCAGTCAGTCAGTCAGTCAGTCAGTCAGTCAGTCAGTCAGTCAGTCAGTCAGTCAGTCAGTCAGTCAGTCAGTCAGTCAGTCAGTCAGTCAGTCAGTCAGTCAGTCAGTCAGTCAGTCAGTCAGTCAGTCAGTCAGTCAGTCAGTCAGTCAGTCAGTCAGTCAGTCAGTCAGTCAGTCAGTCAGTCAGTCAGTCAGTCAGTCAGTCAGTCAGTCAGTCAGTCAGTCAGTCAGTCAGTCAGTCAGTCAGTCAGTCAGTCAGTCAGTCAGTCAGTCAGTCAGTCAGTCAGTCAGTCAGTCAGTCAGTCAGTCAGTCAGTCAGTCAGTCAGTCAGTCAGTCAGTCAGTCAGTCAGTCAGTCAGTCAGTCAGTCAGTCAGTCAGTCAGTCAGTCAGTCAGTCAGTCAGTCAGTCAGTCAGTCAGTCAGTCAGTCAGTCAGTCAGTCAGTCAGTCAGTCAGTCAGTCAGTCAGTCAGTCAGTCAGTCAGTCAGTCAGTCAGTCAGTCAGTCAGTCAGTCAGTCGCTCAAGCAATCCCGCCATCATCGTAGCCATGACTCCTTAACATGCTCCACAGCCTGCCCCCCTCTCTGCGGATCAGATCCCGATACCTCCCCTCCTCGACCACCGTTCCCTTCTCCAGCACGACCACGTTCTCCGCGCAGGCCATCATCTCCTTGGAATGCGTGATGATCAGGACCGTCATCCCGGCTCCGCCTCCCCCCTTGCCACCATCCCCCGCACCGGTCCTGACTTCCCGCCTACTCTCCGCGATCAGATCAACGACGGTGTGGCGGATGACGTCGGCACTTTCGCCATCCAGCGCGCTCGTCGCCTCGTCCAGCACCAGCACCCGCGGTCTCCGGACCAGCGCTCGAGCGATCACGATCCTCTGGGCTTGGCCGCCGGAAACACATAAGCCGCCCTCGCCGATGAGTGTTTCGTAGCCCCGGGGTAGGCTGAGGATGAAGTCGTGGATGCCGGCTCGGGTTGCGGCGGTGTGGATGGAGCATGTGGTGGTGAGGGGTGAGAGGAGGGGGAGGCCGTAGCTGATGTTTTGCCGGACGCTGGCGGGGAAGATGGTGGGCGTTTGGGGGACGATGGATATGTGGGTGCGGAGTGTGGCCATGTGCAGGGTGGTGATGTTGTGGCCTGAGATGAGGAGATTGGGTGGTGGTGGTGGGGAGAAGGTGGAGTTGGGGCGGCTGGTAGGGTTGGGCGTCGGCGGATAGAGGCCGAGTAAGAGGGAGGCGATGGTGGATTTTCCGGAGCCGGATGCCCCGACCACAGCTGTGGAGGTGCCGCTGGAGATTGTGAGGTTCAGGTTTGAGAGGGCGGGTGCGGAGGGGCCGCGGCTAGGCTTCATCATAGGGTAGGCGAAGGTGAGGTTGATGAATTTGATGGGGCCGGAGACGATGTCTGGGTCAGCGGTGTTGAGTTTGATGGTGCCGCTGTGTTCGTGGGATTTATGGAGGGGCAGGTTGGACAGACGGAGGAGCCGGGTTGCCGTGTCTGTCGACGAGGAGATTTGCGGGATGAAGGCTATTACTGCGGTAGCGTTGGCCGTGCTGAAGAGGAGCATGGAGAAGACTGTGAGGATTGACTTGACCGAGAAGTCTCCTTCTTGTACGACCTTCGCACCGTACCAGAAGACGAGGGCCGTGACGAAATTGATGGCCGAGTCGGATGCACCGAAGCAGAAGCCAGAGTAAGCGGCCCGCTTGATGCCGACGATCAGCGCTTGGGAGGTTGCTTTGTTGTATTTTTTGTGGAAATAGGATTCCAGCGTCAAGGCTCGCACTGTACGGATATCTGTAAAGGTCTCCACGAAGATGGCTCCAGCTTCATTGCCAGCTTCGTTGGTGAGATTCTCCCACTTGCTGCTTACAGCATCAAATCCTTTGGTAACGAAGTATAGAGATGGAGCTGCAGCAATGCCAACCAGCGTCAGCTTCCAGCACACCACGAGAGACCAGACCGTAGCTATGGTCATCATCGCTGCAACGACAACAATAAACGGGGCGAAGCGCCCAACGAGATTGCGCATCTCTTCGACGTTCCGGTCGAGGCAGCTGGTAAGGCTTGACAGGCTATTTTCTTGCATGTCAAACCAGGCCTTTGGTTGATCAAGTATCCTTTCGAAAGCCTGCAATCGAAGACGATCGACCCAGACTTGACCACACCCTTCCAGGAGATAGTGCATGCTTCCATCCGAGAGAGCGTCAACGACGGCGATACCAAGGATGGCCATGGAGTAAATCAGGGATTTCCGTGCTTGGCCCTCCGTGATGAAAAATGTGCCTAGCAGTTGGGAGAAGATATAGGAGAAGACAGGTGGACCTGCAGCATGTACAAGGGCAGAAGTGAAACCAAGGATGAACTGTACCCGCTTGGGTCGAGAGAGAGTAGGCCACACTGTTTGTAGAATGGACCGAATAGAAGAAACGGGTTGGGTTCGTAGTGTTCCATCTGCTCCCACTTCTGATGGCTTCCAATTGCTCCAAGGCGTTAGAGAAGCCCTGGCCGATACACGGCGATTGGTTTGGAAGGTTGGTGCTCGCTTCAAGTTGGAGTGGTTGGTTGGCAGCATTGAGTCTCCGTAAATGCTATTCATTGTCATAGCTTGGTGCATACTCATGGGTCGACCACTGCGAGATAGAGCTCGGTGCAGGTTGAGCGTCCTAGGATTGGCTGAATGCAACTGCCCTATCTCAAGCGGATTGGACGTTAGGAGGTAAGCGGAAGTTCTCGGTGTTGCAGGCAACACCGGCCGTCCTCTGATCGCGTCCAATACATTGCCGGCAGATGAGCGTTTCCGTGCTACAGGCCGTGCATGCACACCTGCAGTGCCCATGGATGGTGGCCGTGGATTACGGGAACTTTCAGCAATGCTGTCCAGCTGCATTTCTATCGAATCTCTTCGCATCATAGACCTTCGTGTATCCACAGCTATATTACTGTATCGAGTATGCTGTGGAACTAGACTTGGTCTTGCTTGGAAACCAAAATCGAAATGTCCTGAAGAGGCAATGGTTGGGGTGGTCAATGTGTCGGATGCTACCTTCTCCAATGAAGGCAATGCATGTCGATAGCCCTCCTCGATAATCCGTCCGTTCTCAAGGACGTATACGAAATCCTCTTGTTTGATCTGGGAAATGTCGTGAGTAATGATGATCGTGGTTTTCCCCCGGCGCCACTCGCGTATCGCTTCCATGACAGCTTTCCGGCTGATATAATCCAGAGCACTGGTTGACTCATCGAGAACCAAGATCGGAGTATCTCGCAATCTTGCTCTCGCCACAGCAATTCTTTGCTTCTGACCCCCACTCAAGGCATTACCACCACTCCCGACCTCAGTATCGAGGCCGTGAGGCATTTCGTTGATGGTAGACTGAAGGGCTGCAAGATCAACGCAGACTTCGACTTGCTCCTTGGTGACCCGATAGTGGTCACGTTGCCCGAAGGAAATGTTCTTGAAAATAGTCTCGTTGAAGAGTATACTCTGCTGTTGCACAAGCGTAATATTGTTACGTAGCCAGTTGATCTCAAGCTCGCCGATCGATGTGCCATCCACAAATACCTTGCCAGCAGTTGGCTCGTAAAATCGCATCAACAAGTTTCCAAGCGTACTTTTCCCCGAACCACTTTTGCCCACCACGAAAGTCGTCTCTCCAGCTGGGAAGAAGAAAGTTGACTCGTTCAGCACCAGATTGTCTGGCCGGGATGGATAGGCAAAAGAAACCTGTCGAGGTTAGGTGCCGGGCAGCGTGTAACACCGTGGATACTTACATCACGCACTACGAGATCTCCCTCACAGAACTTTGGTGTAGACTGGTTTGTTCTGCAGTCGACTTTCAGTCCCCGACTCATTTGTTCAAGGATGGTTTTCATGGCGGCGCCTGCGGCTCGTCCTTTTTCGAGGACAATCATATGGGGCAGGATATCTTCAATGGCTTTGGTGGCCATAAGACAAGCCCAGAACGTGGTGAGCACATCGCCTGCAGAAGCTTTGCCTGTCCTTACGAGATGACCACCATACCAAAACCCTTGGACAAACATCGCCGTAGTCACAAAACGTACGAACCCGATTTGAAGTGAATTAGACAGAGCCTGCTTCATGTAATGCTTTGCGGCTGCCATGACAACTGATCTGTACTGCTCAAGCTCATGGGCTTGACCGTTGAAGCATTTGACGGTATCAATCGCTGAGAGAGCACTATTGGCGAATTTGGAGGCTAAAGAAAGTTCGACTTCTTGCGCGAGGATACTTGGCTGCATCATAGAATTGATAAATGACATTATGACTGCCGCCACGGGCAGGGCAGCCAGAATCACCAGAGTAAGCTTCCACGATGTGTATAAGGCCAGTCCGAGAGATGCAAACGCTTGCACGATGAATTCAACCGAGAAGCCTAAAGGCTGAGCCGTGCCTATCTGGAGTTCGCGAATCTGCCTGTTACTTAGTCAGTAGCTGCGACAAGGAGAAAAACGGTGGCGTACGTTTGTAGTCGTGGTAGCAGCGCTCCTATTCCACTCGTACGCATCTCGTACCATTCGAAATCCTTCTCCAACAGATTTTGAAACAGCAGATCTCGTGCATTCTTCGCTTGCATCTCGCCAAACACCATCCATAATGCAAAATAGCCTCCCTTGACCAGCCAGACCGTGCATCCAAGCACACAAAGCGCAATAGCATCTTTAGAAACCTTTTGCATCAGCGCGTCACCGTCAACTGCGCCAGATCCGTAGGCAGAAAACGCATCAAAAATCTTGCCAAAGAAGAGCGCAAGAGCTGGTCCGGTGATACCAGCGGCTGTCGAAAGAATGAGGGCGACGATTAGGATGGGCACATGCTGGTGTGAGGAGAAGTTGAAAAGAGACTTCCATTCTGACTTTGTAGTTCCAGTCTTTGCCGGCTGTGCAGTCAATTGTTCCTCCTCTTCATCCAAATCCTTACCCATACCGATGCGCAGTTCATTTGCAGATGATTGACCAGATTCAGAGGAAGGGCACCAGAAGGCTGTCCTGATCTTTCACAGTCTGATGCAAACATATTTTGAGATCCGGTCAGGGACAACAAAGGCGAGGAAATTAAAATGAGGTGTACACGTGGTTGGTGCAGGGAAGGCATTGTAGTCAAGGATCTGGTAGTATTGTTCTTTTGGAATGTCTGGTTACAGCAAATATCACCTTGAAACCCTACGAAACCGAATTCGTAGACCACGCCACTGGCTGTGCAGCGAAAATCATGCACAAACATGCTTCTTACCTTTTTCCAGAGTTCCGATGTTTCGTCGATTACCAGATGAAGCGGCTTCAGTCATCTGCAGGACCTGAAACCTGGCTTAAGGATTCTTCTAGACGCCAGACATGCGAGGTGACAACTCAGATAGCAACGTTCTTAGCCAGGTAGCTCCAGCCCACTGTTCTGGTACCCTAGGGCTGGCATGCGACAACGGAATTTCGCGTTGTGAATAATAGGACAAGCTCGAGCCTGATATTTCATTCGCTTCTCCAGTTGCAGATGTGACTCTGGCAAGTTCTGGGTGGAGAAAGTGATCACCAGCAATGGTCACGCTATCATACGCCCTCTTCCTTGTCTTTCTCCTCTGAATGCGCCAGTTCATAGATCCAATCATTGAGTCCCGCGCGATTTCGTGCTATTTCAATGGCGTAGAACTGCATGCGGACAGCAAACATCGTCTCTTTCTCTCCATACTCGAACTTGGGATTCCTTCTCAGCATGGTGCCAAAGTTGAAATCTTCAATTTTCTTATCACCTTTCTCATAGACATTCACAAAATTGCGCCATCGCTCTTTGCCTTCCTTGCTCTTCATTTTGTCCTCGTCGATGGTCTCGGCAGGATCGAACTCGGGAAAAGCTTCATGAAGGTGTTGAAGAATCTCATCGTCCATTCGTGTCAGGCGAAGTTTGGATCCTGGCATCTTTTCGAGGATCGCCCAGTAAGTCATCATATGCTGCACAGCTAAGTAGAGCGTGAATGAGGACTTTGTGTGGGTCCATAGGACTGAGATCGCGTACCCTTCACTGCAAACTGCTTTTCCATCTATGACTGGTTAGACCTGGCACTGTTACCTGATCGCGATGAGCCTCACATCCTCGAAATTCTCCGCTTGCTCCGGGTCCAGACGAGCACCTTCAGGACCGAGGAGAGACATCTTGAGATGCAAAGAAGAACAAGGTGAGAGTGATGCAGCAAAACTGCAGACTGGGTGTCGAAATGGCTTTCGATCAGAGTTGATTTATGGCTTACGAATTGTGCATACATATCCTGTGCAAAATGACGCAGCGTAAATTAAGCGACCCAAATGGCCTAAGTTACAGTAGCCTCACACCTGGAACTCTGGGCAAAGCCTTGAAAGTATTGGTATCTCAACAACACATCCTTCCTCATGGTATGCCCACGGACTAGCTAGTTAGAGGTTGGAAATATTTGTGCAGGTATCAAATTGTGGCATGGGTCTACCAAACATGCTTTCCTACCACATAGGGCTTATATAATCCAATGGATCATCACTAAGTACCAAACTCCATTTACCCTTTTGTACTCCGTACATGTAGAGCGGATAAGCCGCGGGTAGGACAGCCAACCCTAACGTTCAGGGGACTTGAGCAGCGGATTCAGTTACGAAATGCACCTCGACCTGCTTCGAGACCTTACAGAAGAATATTACCTCACTTTATTAGTGGTACCCTGCTCGCACTGTTTCCTACAACGTGGACCATGCCGATAAGGCACTAAGGAGGGTTCCTTGAGGTAATTCTGACATGTTGAATTGCCAACAGACCAGACAGAAGCGTGGCAGCCTGACCAACCGAATTTTCCGTTTCTATCCAATCAAGGCCCACAGACACATCTGGTCCTGGCATTCTACGTCGGCCCGCGTAACGTCAGGCCTTTCATCGATCCAGTCAATGAACACAAGAATCACGAAGGACATACAAGAGACTCCTAGCGATTAATAGCACAGAAGTACTTCCCAGATGAGGAAACCTTCTCGAATCCAAATGAATCTGTCACCTGGGCCGTAGTTCGAGATGGTTACCGCAGGGAATCTGAGGAAGCCTTGTATCATTGCAAATCCAAACCCGGACGGCGAATGAAAGGCACGCCTCGCCATCACATGCGTGACATGGTGGTGATTGGGTGTAGGAGACCATGCGCAAACACGCAAAGGGTCTGGATGGATCTTCTCGAAGAAGCTGTCGAACGCTTAGATCGCTATTCCTCAAAGCAATCCACCTTCCTGATCGCAACCATTGGCTCGAATTACATGTCCTTTTTCTGGGTCCACACGGCCCTTTCGGCAGCCGCACTGACAATTGGTCTCAGTGTCGGATCTCATCGTCACACCTTGACCTCCGGCTACAGCCGTTAGATATGGCTCCGTGGCTTCAGAACATGCAGAGCACAACTGGGGGCTCGGTGGGGCCTGAGACCCTCCGAGAATTCGATTACAGAAAGCGCGTTGGGTATCCTTGGAGGTTACCAAAGTAATCCGTTGGGGTAAATGAGCCTCGAAAACTTCGTCACTGCCGTTCCTTGTGCACAACTTGGAGCCCAAATGCCTTTAGCTAGTCTTACAGACGAGCAGCCTGGAGTGAAACTTTTGGAACTGAGAGTAATGGATTGTGATCCAAGCGCTGGCAGAACCGGAGTCACTCGTCACCTCAAATTCGTCGATACACACCGTGGGACATTGGACAGACAGGTTTTCTAAAGCTCCGCTGCTGAGATGGCTGCCAAGGCGTGGACTGTCATGTAAGCATGATGACTAAGTTATTGCCTCCACAAATGATTTTTCCCCCAATAACAGGAAGGTTAAGGAGGAAAGAAAAGCTGCTAATGCAGGGACTGGAGCTAGAAGAAGGGTTATGCCTCATTTCATGTACTGGTGTTCGTGGTGGCCGACAGGATCGGCCGCCTCACAATGCAAATGTGCGTTGTCAGTTCGCCGTTGCCCAAAGTCCACGTCTTGACCAATCAAAAATAGTCACAGTCCCAAAAAGAATGTTACACGAAGCTTGCATTGGAAGACCCACCGAGCCGAACATGTGGCCATCGCTCTTCCGATGGATTCCAATTGGTTTACTGCCGGCCTCATGGCATATCTCTTGCTGACTGATGATATGCATTGATGCCCTGCCAGCAAAAGGTATGTTACTTCAAAAGCACTGACATGACCTTGAACTTTTGCTTCTCTTCGAGCTCTGGGCTTCTCCTCTGTAGCCATTTAGCTAGAAAAAAAAAACAAAAAAAATGTATGCCGAATCGACCCAGGTTCTCCTTTCTTCGCTTTCCTCGTAAGTTGTTTTCGATATCTGAGACATGTTTCATGCCTGTTGATAATCACCCCGAATCATTCGCAGCCTTCAAAAAACATCCGATTATTCGGATCTCACAATCTTTTGTGGAAACGATGTTCACCGAGTTCATAAAGCAATCGTCTGTCCACGTTCGCATTTCTTCGCCGGTGCCTGCAGGATTGGTCAGGTCAGTGCCTCATGAAGCTTCGGAGAGTTAGACAGGGCATGACGAGTGGTATTCATGACAGGAAGCGCTTAGAAATGAGGTCATGCTTCCGGAGGACGACCCTAAGCTCATCAAGTTGATGATCGATTATCTTTACCAACTCGACTATGAGATCAAACCCGAATCGTGCAATGGAGTCATCACAAATGGCGAACCAGAGATACCCCCGATTCCTGAAGCTGATGCGCCAGTCGCACCAGTGATTGAAAGGTTTGAAGATATGGCAGCGCCGCCATTGATTGCGGAAGAAGAACTGCGGGAACTAACAAAGCCCAAAAAGACCAAGTCCTCCAGGAAAAAGCGTAGCGCCGCGTCATATGATGGTCTATCCGTACTCAGATACCAGCAGGCCTGGATTGAGGAGAGCGATTCTAATAGTTCCAAGAATTCGGAGCTGAATGTCCATGCGCAGATGTACGCACTAGCTGACAAGTATGGGATCCACGACTTGAAGGACCTCGCACGAGAAAAGTTTGCGGCAGTCGCATCAAATGAGTGGGATGGCAAAGGCTTTCCTGTGGCAGTGAACACTGTATACGCGACGACTCCGGAAAGCGACTACGGGCTGAGGAACGTCGTGGTCGATACTCTCAGTGAGCACAGAGAACTATTGAATAAGCCTGAGATGGAAGCACTCGTCAAGGAGGTAAATGGTCTCGCGTTTGGTTTGCTGAAGGCCGCTTGGGGACTTTATGAGCATGCTCTGTCAGAATTCTAACTCCAGGGCTGGCTGCACGGGGCTGTTTGACAGTTCTTTAAAATATTTGCAAATAATGTGTAGATAGTCCCATCAAACATTTTTTATGCGTTCCCAATGGCGAACATACCCCGTCATCACAGTCATCACGTATCCAAGCTGTATCCCTTTGTCATGGCTAAGAGCGTCTGCTTCACCATCTCAATTCTGGCTTGAAGAAAATGCGAAAGGGTCGGAACGTACTAATAGTACTTGATAGGACCCTTCTGAGATGGCGGTCGCAACCAATCAATGTGATGGATGCCACCTATTCTTGCATATCCTTGGCTGTAAACAGGCTTGATGTCTCCGTCCTTGTTTTGATAATACACAGATCCATCATTCGAAACCGGTATCTCGGGCAGAATGATAAGGTTCGTAGCCTCCATGAGGTGACTGATGGACCTGGTAGCCCGCTCTGCCACCTAGTCATCTAAATGACTACGAATGGTGGCCACATCTAAACCTGGCTTCTGTCTTGCATTGACAGGTTATTCGGCCATATTTTCAATGGGGCTGAGTTCGTGTTGCTAGTATGCTTGGCCATCTCTGAAGCTCACATCGACGATGAGCGGCTAGTAGATAGTGAAAACGGCTCCGTCTACATCCAGTGGTCCCAAAAAAAATGGATTTTGGTCAGGGTCGCCAATCTGCATGCCATTGGTGAAGTCAAACGAGAGCAATCCGTTCGTTTGTGGATCCATATGGGGTTGCGCGCTGCGATGTCTCGATGCATAGTACCGTATCTGAGATTAATCTAGTCGATGATCTCAGTCATTTGGGTCAGCCAGGAACGGTGAAAATGGGTAACGGAGTGATTGTCTTTCAAGGTCCCTCCTGGGATGAAAGTGCTGGTCCATCCAACTAGCCAGTGATCCGTATCATAGACTACGATTTTCTTGAAGGGAACAATGGATAGATGCCCTTTTAGAACTCTCATGATATGGGCATCGTTCCACATCTGCTGAGGCTGTGAAGAATAAACCGCAATTTTGAACACGGTAAGATGGTGCTTGTTCTGTCCGTGGACATAGAAGACGATATCAGCCAGCTCATACATCCTTCGCGCCTCACGTAGATTGGAGCGCTTCACCTTGTTCCCCCTGACATCATCCGCCTGTTGATCAAAGCATGATACTGGAAGAATTCTCCTTGATCACCTTCATCTGGGTTCGAGAAGATCAGAAATTTTCCATCCTCAGACACTTTGATCATTACATCGGGCTGAAGGGACAATTGGGGCTGACTTTGTTTCAGATTTCGGGCGCTTTGGGCTTTTAGGGCCGGATTGCAACTTACTTCGGTAATCAATACAGAAGAGACAAACAATTGCGTATCGTGGAAAGTTGAGTTGATAGTCCCACTAACGTAAGCGACTGGGCTCCAAGTTGCCTTCCAGTGTGCAGACAGAAGTACAAAATTTGCTCCGAGACTGTGATGCAGGAGCTGTGACCAGGGTGCGATTTTTATTGAAGATGCCAGCCGAGACGCCAGCCCAACGCCAGCGAAGACGCCTGCAGCTATAGGGAGGATTGCACCTCAGTACCTAAGTCGTACCTTGCGGCTCCCTTTGATGGCGACCATTCCATTCTACAAGCTTTTTGCAAGGCTATCACTACTTGCTTTACGGAGTATCCAGCATAAATTCCAGTAGCATATATCCACAAGCTTCAGTATCTGTGCTTTGTTGCCGCCATGGACATCTTTTCGGTCCTTAAGAACGCGATGGCCGGGAGTATCACGGATATCGCTCTTGTCATCGCCGTTGTGGTCTTTCTCACCATTCTCGTGAACGTTCTTCAGCAAGTTCTTTTCAAAGGCCCGAACACGCCTCCTATGGTGTTCCATCTACTACCAGTGATAGGAAGCACAGTCACCTATGGCATAGATCCATTCAAGTTTTTCTTTGACTGTCAGCGAAAGGTACGAAGGTGTGGTGGTCGTATCTTATCTATGAAATTTTGGAGGTTGCCGGGCTAACTTCATCATGAATGCAGTATGGCGATGTGTACACTTTCATCCTTCTTGGCAGGAAGGTGACTGTCTACCTAGGCAAACATGGCAATCAATTCATCTTAAATGGCAAACTCAAAGATGTGAATGCCGAAGAAATCTACTCGGTCCTGACGACACCAGTCTTCGGGAAGGATGTTATCTACGATGTGCCTAATGCGAAGTTCATGGAGCAGAAAAAGGTTAGGTGTGTCCTTGCCTCTCATCCAAATATAACTAACCTCTCTAACAGTTGATCAAATATGGTCTGGCTTCAGGTTCCCTACGGACATATGTATCTTTGATGGAGGATGAGGTCCGTAGCTTCCTCAAACGGACGCCTGCTTTCAAGGGATCTAGTGGCACGGTCAACTTACCTCCGCTGATGGCTCAAATCACCCTCTTCACTGCATCTCGTTCCTTGCAAGGCAAAGAAGTCCGTCAAAAACTGGATTCCACCTTTGCCGCATATTACAAGGCTTTGGATGACGGATTTCAACCAATCAATTTCATGCTTCCCTGGTTTCCCCTTCCTCAAAACCGCAAACGCAACGCAGCTCAGCGAAAGATGACCCAAGTATATACTAAGATAATCAACGAGCGGCGCAAAAGGGGCGACCCAAAGGACAGCGAAGACATGATCTGGAATTTGATGCAATGCCGATACAAGGATGGCACACCTATCCCAGACCACGAGATTGCACACCTGATGATCGCCCTCCTAATGGCTGGCCAGCATTCATCCTCAGTGACGAGCTCGTGGATAATGCTCCATCTTGCCGCACAGCCAGAAATGATGGAAGAGCTCTATCGAGAGCAACTACGCGTTCTTGGGAATCCCGCAAACCTACTAACCTATGAAAACATCCAAGAGATGCCCCTACTAAGGAACGTGATCCGCGAAACCCTCCGCCTGCACCCTCCAATCCACTCCATAATGCGCAAAGTCAAGAACCCGCTTCCCATCGAAGGCACCACCTGGGTCGTCCCACCCTCCCATGTCCTCCTCGCAGCTCCCGCTACAATGGGGAAAGACGATGCCTATTTTCCGAACGCTGATATCTGGGATCCTCACCGATGGGAGAGCATAGGCGATCCAATGGACCAGGAGAAGGAGAAGGCAGACTATGGATATGGGGTTGTTCCCACCGGAGCAGATAGTACGTACCTGCCGTTCGGGGCTGGAAGACACAGATGCATCGGCGAGCATTTTGCGTTGCAGCAGTTGACGATTGTTGCGTCTGTTATGGTGAGGACGTTTAGGCTCAGGAATGCGGAGGGGAAGAAGGGAGTTGTTACTACGGATTATTCGGTGAGCTTCTCCTATTCACATGTGAGGATTCTATTTGTTGACCCCATTCTTAGTCACTGTTCTCACGACCGATGGAGCCGGCGGAGGTGATGTGGGAGAGGCGTAGTGAGAATTTTTCAAAGCAGGATTTGCTTAACGGATGCTGACTCTCTCATGAGGCGAATGCTCAATGGGTTCTACTATTGGGATATAATGCTTAAATGCGGATAGAAAAGAGCGAAACTCGGGTAGTTGAGTGAAAACGGTATCCCAACACTGAGGGAAAGAGACAACGACATATACATAGACTACTACTCGCGGCACGCGGTCGTTACTAACCCACATGAAAAAATGATTTCCTCCGCTATCGTATTCAGAAATTCGATCTTACCAACAACAACAACAGTCTGCTGGCCAATCACAACTTTGTCTGGAACATCCTCAAGTCTCATTTTTCAGGGCATATAGGACGGCTCAAAGACGTCCTTGCGGCCCTTCCTGATCCAAATAAACCACTTGAGTTAAGTGGCCTGCGCGGTTCAAGTGGACTGTCCTTCATAACATCAGGGACATCACTGAACGACGATAATTCCCAGTAAGACTCTCAAGACCGAGACGCTGATGACTTTGCAATGTCATCTCATCTTGATAGCTTGTAGAATGGCGGAGTCAGGAAGAAAGGACCAGAGAGTGCGGCGATCTCTCAGTAATTGGATAAGGTGCAAGGCCAGCTGAATAAGCTTATGTGTCATGCGCCTATCATGCACCGCATGGCAGGGCTAGCATAGACTGCCAAGATAGTTAGTAGAGTATATGCCTTTCGGCGCCCTCAGGGCATGTTAGAAGATACAACTACTTTCACTACACTGATTCTGTCTTTTGTTCGTCTTTTGCGCGTCTCTTTCGCGTCAGGCTGCGACCGTCTGACATTATGTAGCAACTTGAAAAGAATAGAAATAAGAATAGGGGACAGAGACAGAAGCACAAGAATAAGATTAAACGACAAAGGAAAGAGAATAAGAAGGAGATGAACAAACTTCTATAGCGACTAACTGGGAAGATAATAAATTGATGATAAGAAGTTTTACAAGAGATATCTTAAATTAAGTTTATATACAGAGTTGTGCTTCAAAAGTTATTAATACTAGATGTAACTTTTTTTAAATGAAAAAAGGGATAAAAGAATAGAAGAACAGAAAAACATTCTGTGCGTTTTCTCTGCGCATTCTGCGTGCAAATTCTGTGCGCTTTCTCTGTACATTCTGCGTGCGAATTCTGCGTATTTCTGTGCCCTCTTTCTGCGTATCCTACGTGCTAATTCTGTGCCTTCTCTCTGTGCATCCTGTATGCGCATTCTGATTTTGATGGGATACAGCTTGGCAAGATTCTGCAGCCTTAGCAAGCTAATAGCTCTGCGTTAAACTCAAGAAGGCAGGAAGGGGAACTTTATCTAATAAGAAGGCTGTGATGAAGTGGAGGAATGAAATTCTATCTACCTTGCAGAATTCTATCTCAGAAGGAGGAGAGGCTAAACCCTGTGCGGAGAAGCACGTGCGCAGTCACGTGACACGCAGCGCCAGGGATTGGCTGACGGCTAATTCCAACAGGCTGATCTTTAGCCTGCATTTTAAAGCTTATTGCACTTCAAAGTTTGCAGCTAATTGATCAAGCTTGGCGGTGGGTTCACATTAGATAGATGATATTATATGTTTTAAGAAAAAAGTACAAAAATTAAGTATACTCATGGATGATTCTTATAGCAAAAATACAGAAATAGCGCTCAGATTCTTTTGCGAAGACCACACTTGGCATTGCCAAATGGGACTGACTGCAGCTGAGTCTAAGTGTTGAGGCAACTGGCGACGCTCCGGTAGAATTCTTTACATCCAACAATTTTGTAGATGTCAGTCTCTATGCGTCTCTTCTCCTGCCTTCGATCTCCAAGATTGCAACGATCATCACGTATTTGCTCTGCTTGGAACCCGCGACCGAATCAGACGTTCATCCCAACACGATCCTTGACGATGAAGCCTATGTCTTTACTTCGTTCCCTGTTTCCAGCAGCCTCTGCACCTGCGCAGACTATCATGGCGTCGAAAGCGGAGGAAAACCCTGCCCGATACTGTCCCGGTGGTTATCATCCCGTGCTTATTGGAGATGTGTATAATGGTAGGTATCAAGTGATACGGAAGCTCGGTTCTGGTCAGTACTCTACTGTATGGCTTACACGGGATCTTCGGTTAGTGCTCTACTTAACTTTCACTTATTTCATGTAAATTGTATCTGCTCTGACCTTGCAAGTAAAGTATCAATCAGCATGTCGCGCTGAAAATTCTAACTGCCGACTCATATGGCGTCGAGAAATCAGTATACGAGTTAGCAATTCTGCAGCATATCTCAAAGGCCGATCAGAGACAAGCGGGCTATAAGCATGTCGTCCACCTTCTCGACAACTTTACGCATACAGGACCTAATGGCAGACATCTGTGCTTGATTTTCAAGGTGATGGGAGAAAGTGTCGGTGCACTACGGCGCCGTTTTCCCACATGCCAGGTACCGGCTGCTTTAACGAAGCAAATTGCTCGCCAGGTCCTGCTAGGGCTGAATTATCTCCATCAGTCATGCGGCGTCATTCATACGGGTCGGTGACTGATCACCCTCTCCTCTAAGCTATAGATAGATATCTTGCTAATCTAGATTTGAGAAATCGAATAGATATCAAGCCGGGAAATATTTTGGTTGACATTGAAGATGGTGAGTCTGTTATTGATAGTCATCTCAAGCAGTCCCCTGAGAACACAAACACAGACGTCACGGCTCCCTATCTCCGGTCCGAAACTCTAGTCGCGACAACGGCTAATTCTATAGCAAACATCAATGTAAGGATAGTGGATTTCGGAGTTGGTGAGTGGCCTAGTAATGCTTGGACATTTAACGAGCGGAACTGAAATGCTGACACTTGACATTCTCCCAAGCTTCTTGGGTGGATAACCACCTTACCGAATGGATCCAACCACCTTCCCTACGGGCGCCAGAGGTGATTCTGGGTATTCCTTGGAATACTAAGGTCGATGTGTGGAGTGCGGCATGCACGGTTGGTCGCACATTCCCCTCTAATCATGGCTTGAGAGTACTTTAATGATATGCCGGTCAGATATTTGAGCTGCTTCAGGGATACGTTCTTTTCATTGGCAAGCAAGACAAAAACGGTGCTTGGACAGCGGAATAAGATCATTTGGCTCAAATGATAGAACTTCTTGATCCCATCCCTCCAGATATGTTGAGCCAGGGGAGCCGCTCATCGCAGTATTTCTACAATAATGGTATGTAAACTTTGCGTGAATCGTCATACTTCCTAAAATCTTTACGCTAAGACTACCTATAGGCCAGATGAAGAACATTCACCAGTTGCACCCCGTTACCCTCGAGGAGAAAATCAAACTTAGGAAGAACAAGGGTCTTTCCGATGATGACGTGGCGGCTCTTTCATCGTTTCTTCGGTCACTGCTACAATATCGACCAAAGGATCGCAAGGATGCTCTCGGTGCAGCGCTAGTCCCTTGGCTTTGGAGAGATTAAGAGTAGTGATCATTGAGCGGAAGATTGCGTGAGATGGTGGGTGCTCCAAAAATCTCGTAACCTATCCTTGCACTTCTGTTAATGACCCGCCATTCAAGACGATGAAGCAAAATATCCCGGAACCACTTGTTCTGGTGGGCCAAGTGTTGTCCTTCAGCTTTCCCTGCTATATTTTTTTAGCTGGCAAGGCGCACTTGATCTCCTCGTTTCCGGCCTCAAGGCTGATATGGTGATTGCATAGTAAAATTGATTGAGTTGATTAGGAAGCTCGAGACGTTGCGTGACCGCAACAGAAGCTAATGAATCTGCGCCAAGCAAAACGTACACGTCACAACTTAAGGGTCGCTCCGGTCCATCACAAGAATGATACGCGCTACACAGGTGCTTTACAGTTGACCTTGCCAGGGAAAAGGTATTACGAGTCACGTGCGCTCCATCTTGGCTTAAACGGTCAATGCAGACGGTAACTGTGTCTGGCACAGGGCACAGGTATCAAGGCGGGAGTGGCTAAGACCAGAGGACGCAAACGCGTGTTTGGTAATGATGTCATCATATTGTCTAGTTGAATCTTGCCCTTGCTTGCTACTACGAGAGTGTCTGGTTTTGTACTCGTATTAATCTGGGTTGGGCTCTCTAGAGCTTGCGGCTCTGTCTGCCTGGTTCACTTGGCGCCGTGGCTCCCTTTCTTAGGGACATGTTGTGGTCTGACGATTGACTAAACTGTGCGCTGCTTGTTGAGTGTAAAGACTTGTGCGAATGGGAGAAGGTGCTTGATGCCGGGTCGAAAGAGCTCTAACTGCAACGATCTACTACTAACCATTAGCAGTCACTGGATGCTCAGTTGGCTTGGATCTGCTCCACTCGTCTCCTTAGCAGAGCACATACTGGACGTATAGCTGAGATACATTTTTCCCTTAGATCGGGCTGTGACGGCCTTAATTGAGGAATGAAAGCGCGTCTACAGAGTCGTGCCCCAACTAGTCAAATTACGCTAAGGAGATACATGCTAAGAGGCGTACTCTGTAGTATGGAGGCGAAAATGCACAGCAGACAAGAGATAGAAGCCTACGTAGTAGATAGCACTGACTCTGGCGAGCGAGTCGCAACCGTACTGAAAGCTTCCAAAGTGACATTCTCCCCCTTCGCCAAGCCCAGTTTGACGTTTCTATCATGCTACTACGTACTATGCAGATCGGGATCGGACCATGAAACTGATTGTGATAAAGCTCCTAATTGGGGTGGGCGCAGGAAATACGAGTCAGCCCACCCTTTGGCCCCGTGGCAGGGATTGAATATTAGATAATAGTTGGTCCGTACCTTGGGGCTCTGTCATGCAAGGAGATCTTCCTCTTTCCCCCTGCATAAGCGTGGTATCGAGGACGAACTGCTAGCTAACTAGACTCTTAGCCTTTCTCACTAATATTTAGCTGCAGACAAACCTAAAAGCTATTCACCTTGCTCTACTACGTAGTACTACGTAGCTACCCATTAAAATGTACACCTCCATAATGCTCAATGGTACGTCAACACGAGATTGCTTGCTGTTTTGAGAGGTGGCTAAGACATTTTTTCTAAATATAACGAAGTATTCAACAGTGCGATTACTAACGGTCGTGGAGCTACCATGGAAAGGCAGTGATCAATACGTCTGGTTGCCATATTTGTTCCCTCCTCCATTTATCTGTGTATTGGATTATCCAAGACCACAATTGGTCGACTACCATTATTTTGACTGAGCCCTGAGCCCTGATCCCTATGGGGCGTGAAAGGGACCTTCAGACTGTAGGACCGGTTTCATGGCGCAAATAATCTGCGAGGCTGGATTCGAATGAAAACGCCTAACTGAAAACGCCTCGTTTGCCGTACCGCCTTTCGTTGAATCAGGATAAGCCGAACTACACCTTGTGAAAACGATTTTGGCATTGTTTCACCTAGTTTGCAGGATTTCACGTTTCAGGATATCCGCAAAAAGTGTCTGAGCTAGAAGCCGTCACTCTAGAATGCCTGGGATCATGCGCAGCTCACTGGCTCTCTCTCGGCTAGACACGTTCAGTATGCTTACATTGGGCGGAATCTGCCTTGCCACAAAAAGATGGCATGGCTAGCTGAATTGAGCTAATGTACGGGAGGCATACACAACTTGCTAATGGTTACGCCCTACTTAGTTGATTCGCGGAGAGAGTACTTGAAGGATGGACTTCCACCGTGGCCGATGTTTCTGCAAACCTCGCCCACGGAGATCATGATGTTCATGAAAATTCAGCTAGTTTTGCAAACTATGGCGCTCGCCGTCACCAATCCGAAAGAACACAAAAAGTTAGCTACTAATCCCCATGTCATTCCTTGATGCTTCTCTACAGTTGCCGTCTCTAACCATTGATATCAGATCGCAACTTCTTCTCCACAATGCCGTACACGATAGGTCGGTGTCTGAAGATGAAGTGAGACCCCGGTACCCTTCCTGAGCTTGACTTTGAAGTTTCTCCTGTCCATGCATCGCATGAGGAACACCACTATATGTCCACACCACAGGATCGCTAACCCGTTACAGCGTCCTCATAACAATCTCCCTATGGTCGACAAGGAGCCCGCCAGCGATGTGGAAGAACCGGCATGGCTCCTCAATCTTTCTGCTGGGGCACCATCATGGCCGGACTATCCTCCCGAAAGACCATGGCCCAAATCAGACATTGTCATGGAAGTTTATGACCTTGAAGCGATATTCCGAGCAAGTCTATACCTACTAAAAGATCACAGCCAGAGCACAGAAACACCATATTTCAAAGAAACGCAAATCAATACCAATGCCCCCTATACAGCCGTTAGACCCGGCCACTACCGCACCAAGCCTACTGGACCTGGCTGCAAAAATAGCGGATGTTATTGGGGCAGTGGCAGCATTGATTGCCGTGATGCTCTTCTGGCTCTACCGGCCCAAACGACTGCTTGCTAGAGCGAAAACGCAAGAGCCACGCAGGGTTTCGATCAGAGCTCGGTCTATGCGTCTGGTCGCAGCGAGCTGGAGAGCGAGACGAATGGTCAACGGACGCTGGAAACAGAGTCTGAAGCTCATCGAATCTGGGGTCGCCAAAAAAAATATATTAAAAACCGGGCATAATCGTGGAGGCAAAAAAAGGATTTCATAGGTAAAGTACTTGTTTGGATTTTGACCTCTGAAAGGTCAGAAAGTACCCTCTTTTGAGAATTTCCTTTGAGGCAGGCAATCTTTTTTATCTCAGGCGAGTTTTTCGGAGAATTCACCCATTTTTCATCCTGCTTCTCGGCTCTTCTCTTTTGGGCAACTTGACAACAGTTTCTACGCAGATAGATTCAATAGCCAATTCGACTGTGTCTGCGATGAACGAGCTCAATGCTTCATAATTGACCATCTTGGTCTTTGCATGGTGGACACATTGTACGTAGATGGAGGCCAATACCACTAATCACGTGGAAATTAACTACTGTGCGTTGCATAAGAGTTGCGAATTCCATGTACTGTCATTTATTTTGTATGTGAGTACACGCAAAATTAATTACTAGAGTATATTCAAGTTACTAGCGTATACACAAGCTCACGAAAATTAATTCCAAAATCTCACTCAAATAAGAAATAAGCGCTAAGACCTGCGCTTGGCAAAATATTACGGCTCAACACCATAGATTCTATCAGGATAGCAGTTTGCTTTTTGACGATTATAGCTTAACCATAGCAGCTACTACTACTTTTATACTATTAATTGATAGCTCTCTATCCGTACTATCTCTCTGTCGCTTTATAGCGCCTCAAGCGTATTGTAGGGTACGTCAACAGTAGTTTCGTCAACGCGAAAATGACAATGACGAAAATAACTCTTTGCGTGCTTCTCAACGCCACAGAGCTGCACAGCAAGGTGGAAAAAGCCCTCATACCAATCAGTAAACTGCCCTGCAAGCTCTCTATTCGATCTCATCCATGCTTTCAACGGAGAAAACGAGAATTCGATAGGGTTGAAGTCAGGAGAGTAAGGAGATAGATATATTAATCGAACGCCTGCCTCTCAGCACATATCTCTCAGCTCCTATATACAAATATCAGTATTAATAGTAAATATAGCGTCAAGAGCTTACTTGACTATGATAAGCGCTGTGGTTATCTATAATCAGCACTAACCGTGGCTTAGGATACGGATTCATTTTCATTAGTAATCTTTGAATAAATGCGTTAA